CCTTTAAAATTTTCATTGAATCTAACAAATTTTTTTCCTAATTCTTCTTTTCTTTCTTAATACTATTAACTTAGAATATTAAGTATAGTATAAACTCTATATTATATAACTTTCAAATTATACCATACTTTTTTGCTCAATTATATATAATATAATACAATTTTATATTATGTTTAATAATGTAACTCTTATCTATATTAAATAATGTTTTGTAATTATATATTATTAACTAATTAATCATATTATACTTAATAATATAATAAAAATGAAAGATTGCAAAATATCAGACAGAGTATAAAACAATAATATTTTACTGATCTATATTTAAAATTTTGTGAATTCAGATTTATTTAATTTGTCTAACTAAGATAAATATTCTTTATATTTAAACTACAAAAATTGGTTAGATATTGAAAAAAATATAAGTATCCAAAGTTGATTGATTTTCTTGAAATTTATTGGTATTGATTAAGATTAATAAAGTTTTTTTAGTATTTAATTTCTCTATATTAATTTGTTATAATTGATTTTTGATAAGTATTTGATCTTTAAATGGAAAATTAATTTTAATAATATCAATAATCAAATAAAATTTTTAGTTGATCAGTTTATTTTTGTTACTGACCAAAATTGCTTGTTAATTTTATAATTAGTATTCAAAATATGAATTTATTCAAAGAATATTAAAATTTATAAGTTAATATAGTCAGATCTCTTTATAGTTACACTTATTTATAGTTACATTTCTCTATACTTATCTTAGTTTGCTTTTTTATTTATATATAAACATAGTAAAAAAATCTCTCTATAGTCACAATCTCTTTATAGTCATCAAATTTGGCTTTTTTGAGAATGGTAACTATAGAGAGATTTAATTGTACTAATATTTTAATTGGCTATTCAATTTTTGTCACATGAAACTTATTTATTTTAGTAAACTCTGATTTTTATTGATTAATTAATTTTAAGAAACTTGTCAAAATATATCAAATCAATCAAATTTAAGAGATATAAAGTTCTGGTTTTGGCTAATTATATTTTCTGAGATTATTATATATAACAAGTTGTTATATTTAGATTTATCCTTAAAATAAAGTTATATTTTAATATATATTTTTTATAAATATTTCAAATGCAATTTCAATAATATTTTTAATTATAAAGTTAGTTATACAAATATTTTATAATTAATTTTATTGAATTTGATTTTAATTATAAAAGATTTATATAATTAATTTTATATTTAGAAATATTTTTAAAATTAAAAACTTTATTCTAAAAGATAATCTTGATTTTATTATATTTTATTACAATTTTTTTGAATTTTTAGTATTTTATTATAGGAATACATGTAATTATAATCGAAACTAAGCTTACTGCAAAGCGTGTTCATTCATAATATTTATGATTGTAGTAAATGTACCAAGTGTCAAAAAAATGAGTACTGCTGGGAAGCTAAAAACGGAAATAAAGATATCGACTGTCTGATAAGGATCTCTTTTGAAAGATTAATGTTGAATATCTTGCAAAAGGAGGTTTTGAATCTAATTATAAAGCAACCTGGTTGGATGGACTATTGGATGACGAGTGAAAGTGGGATCATGAAGAGAATAAATTTAAACGAGTTGGAAACGCGACATTGTGTTGAAAACATTACGCAAATTATATCTTGAACAGCTATTAATTCCGGACTTCATTATGATTACTTACGAATTAAATTGAAATTGGCAAGATATGGGTTAATGACTATTTATCATTTTAAATGTCATCAGTAAAAGTATCAGAAATGTACAAAACTAAATGTAAATATAATAAAAATTCAAAGATTTATTGAAATTTAATCAGCATTTTAGAAAAAACTTGCATTTACTTTTAGCTAATAATCCTTATGGTTATTAAAATTAATTACTATAAATTATAATTCTTTTTTATGGAATCATACAGGTGAAAATAATAAACAAATTAAATATCTTAGAAAAAAACTAAAATAATTTCACTAGACCTAGATTCTCAAAATATATTTGTTTTGGACGCTAATTTTGCACGCGTGAACGGGAATGATAAATTATCCTTAGCAAAACAACTCATGAAAGGCATAAAGTGTATTCATGAAGAATGGATTATTCATCGGGATTTAGTAAATTGATTTTAGAAATGCTTTTTTATAATATTTTTGTGTTTATTTGATGCAAACCTAACGTTTATATTTTTTTACGATAGAATCACCACAATATCGATATGATTAATAATAAGGAAAAAGTCAAAATTTTTGGTCTATGTTATTTAAAAATTTAAGTTATATTTATTTGGAATTTCTAAAAGATATGACTAACTTTAGAAATCCGACATATTCAGCCTTAGTGTGCTATTTTGGGTTATTTCTAGTGGCTACTTCTGATAAATCAATATGGATACGCTTCTTATTCACCGGAAAAGAAAAAAGAACTCCAGATAAACACACCTTGAAAAAATATATGTACACAGAAAGGACTGCAAAATTTATTTTCTATCGCTATACATGTACTACGTATTTGGATTTTTTTATAGTTTTTGTTTGATGTACAGTACATTTATTTGTGAGATTATTTCCTGAAAGCAAATATGAATATAGGATTTCTAGAGTAGACACACACTTTAATTTCTTCATGTGTTAAAAGAGCTGTGATATTTAAAATTCAAAGTATTCTGTACCCACTCCTTATTGAGCTGATAAAGTGGTGAAGTTTCTGAGTTTGTTTGTTTTTTGAGCCAATAATAAATTCTCACACCCAGAATATTTGGTCTCTAAGGTCGTTACAGATGAGATCTCCATTATGTTTTTTCATTCATTGAATTACAGGTGCAAAAATACTCAAATTCAAGTTTAGATGACTTGTCGAAATTTCAAGTGTTTGCTGAAACTATAATTTAGTGATCAGATCTTAATGATTTTGGTACCTTTTATTGGCGAATTAAATGACATCAAAATTGATTACTGGATTAATGGTGCAATAAACACTTAAAAGTTTCATGCCGAAACTAGTTTCTATTCTGGAGTATTTACTGCATCCCTACACCGGATGGTTCGCCTGTTACAATTTTGTACATAACCATCCCAAGTCTATAGACATATTTATTTTGGTAACTCTGGACTAATATAAAGAAATGTTCCATAAATTTATTGATTAGATTATTTGAATTAGCGTTAGCTGGGTCGGTAAGAAGTCCAAAATCGACCATGCAGGCATTCCCATGTATTAATATATTTCAAGGTGAATTCGCAGTGCCTTTTTGTCAATTACATTCAGTCCCCTAGTAATTGAGATTAAGTATCTTAATTATTCTTCCCAAGTCAATTTTTAAAATTATCCTGAGAAACTTATTCATTTTTAGTTACCTTATATGATAACTTGTTCTACGTTGTCACACATCTTTAGACTATTTAATTGCGTTAGAAAGTGTTCATTCTAACCTCTATATATGTAAATGGTGTAATAATTTCGACACAGCTTCCTTTTGATGTCATTTAAATTTATTTTTCATAATCTCGTCTGTTGTAATAGAGAACGATGCTAAATAAATTGTTCCGCTTTTTGCAAGATGTTCAACATTGGTAAATCTTTCAAAAAAGATCCATTCAAAAAATAAAAATTCATTGATTCTATTCAGCTTTATAGTGATATTCAAAACATCCAAAACGTATAACTATTTAAACGTTCCTATTAATATTTATACTGTATTAAAATTTTAAAATGATATATCCATAACATCTGTTAATCGTTTTATTGTTGTGTCAACGTTAAAGCAGGTAAATGCTGGTATAGTGTTGTTGTTACCGGGGGTTAAGAATAATTTCGTTAATCTCCCAATTTTGGTGAAACCCGCCTGGCCCGATTTCGTTAGTTTATTTTCATTCGCTTTAAAATTCTATTTTAGTTTCGCTTTTGTTTTCTATTTTAATTTCATTGTCGTTTTCTATTTGATTTCGCTTTTGATTTCGCTTTTGTTTTCGCTTTTGATCTCGCTCTTGTTTTCTATTTCTTTTTCAATCCTAAATTCTCTCTTAAATAATAGAGTGCATTATGCAACAAGTTCTGAAACAATACTTCATAATGTAAACAAAAAGATGTATATAGTCCTCGCGGATGTTAATAAAGATTCAGAATTAAATTGCATACAATTCTTCTCCAAGTAAATTAGACTTGTAAAATTGTTGTAATTGATTGTGGTTAGGTTCTTTGTTCCAGAAAAAGAGTTGATATTGTCAAACGACATATTGATTGCTTGAAAAAGCGCTTGGTATTGAACAGTTTAAGGCTTAACGATTGAAAGTTAATAAGAATATTATCAATAAAACATCACATAAAAACATAAAACTCAAAACCATCTAAAAACCGACCCATCCAAATTCCCTTTCTACCGTCATAATGAACAATATCTATAGATATCAGCACATGAATTAGAAACCAACGAACACACTCAGTCTAATCACTCCCCCAATTCTAATCACGATCTACTCGTGACAATGTGTTATATAATATTTGTTATCGTTATAACTATAAAGTGAATGAAATCATATTGCATATTGTCACAATTCTAGTTGTTTTGTTTTATTATTTGGATCTGTATTTTATTTTTGAAAAGAATTTCGATTTGATTCTTTAATCACACTTCAATACAGACAAGGTTAGATTGTCATTATACGTACATGCATATGATATTGCATCTTTGATAATACAGTTTCTTAGTGATACAAAAAAACATTATTTAAATCTTTGTTACTTGCAAATCAAAGAGGTAAATTTTTTACGTTGCGTGGTTTTGTGAAGATAATGGTATGGTATAAAAATATTTTCATTTAAATATATTTTTTTGCAACAGTAAAAATTATCAAAGTAACGAGATTTTACGCTTAATATTTAATAATTGAACAAGAAATCGGAACATTGTGGAATCCTGAACGAGCATTCGAATTTTTTAAATTAGGAGCATTATCCGGAGAAACAAGTGCATATCGTTTTATGGCATATTGCTTCTTAGATGGAATTGGCACAGGTAAAAATGAAAAAGAATATTTTGAATGGACAAAAAAATATGCAGAAACCGGCAGCCCCATGGGATATTTCAAAATTGGAGAGTCCTTTGAATATGGGATTGGCACTAGGGTCGACTTTCAATCTGCTTTTCGATGGCACGAAAAATCAGCGCACGCTAATAATCCATTTGGCCAATTACATCTTGCTGCGTTATACGATGCGGGATTAGGCACAGAAAAAAATCCGTCTTTAGCATTCGAATGGATGAAAAAAGCCGCCACCACAGAAGGAAATAATTCAGAAGCACATTATTATCTAGCACTTTATTATTTTGTGGGATTGTGGGATTTGGAACACATGTAAATCATGAATTAGCGTTTTATTGGTATAAGCAGTCTGCATTACTCGGAGATCCTGACGCGGCATATTATCTTGGTAAACTGTATTTCAATGGTCAAGGAATTGATGTGCATCAGAATAAAGCTTTTCGAGCATGGATGAAAGCTACTCATCTTGAATGTGCTAAACATCAATTGGCTGTTTGTTATGACGATGGAGAAGGTACGAACAAAGATATGCATGAGGCTATCAAATGGTACAGGAAAGCAATGATATTTGGACATACTAATTCTTTTAATTGTCTAAGTTTAGTTTTCCGTATTTGATATGTCTAAGCGTCACCGAATTTATTTGTATTTAGTTAATGTTCTACTTTATTTTTTCCTCTCTAGAATCATTTCATGTTAGAATATTTCTATAGCCTAAAAAATGTTGACAGAAATTATGTATCTGCTGCATTTGCCAAGTATCTGAAATTTTTGCCATGAAAATAATAAAATGCAATATAAGAAAGATTTGCGTATCATGACTTATATCCTAGAAATTTTAATAACGAATCGTATTGCTTAATCTGCTAATTTTGGGACAACAAGTACAGTACGTATAGTGTTGCAGGTGCAGATTAATTAATCAGGTTTAGATGTTTTTACCTACAACAATGAATGGAGAGCAGTATAAACAAGATAAATTCTAAAGCCTGTACCGATATCTACGGATATCGTTAGTTGTGTTGGGTTTCGGGAATTATAAGGAGGTGATTCGAGTTTTGGTAAGGTAATTAGGTATGATTTATGCAATTGGTATTGTTGGTTAGGGTAGAGACATTAATCAGGTAATTTTTTGGGGGGAGGGAGTCAGAACAAAAATCAGGTGATTAAAAAATTCTTAGCCAATCAAAAAATCAGGTGGGAGGGAGGGGGATAAGCTTCCTATTAACCGGAAATCACTTGATTGATGTCTCTACTCTAATAATATTAACCGTTACAATGCTTTTTCTAGATAAAAACCTTAACTCTTAACATATGATTATTTCGATCGATCTTATTCAATACACATTAATGATTTCACTTAACAATACGATGCCTTTTTTTGGAACAAAGGTCCTAACCATCAAAATAACGTTAACGTTTACTATAAAGGGATTTTACAAGTCTTAATTTACTTGGAGAATAATTCTACGCAATTTAAATTCTGTTTTATTGTATTGATGGCCTAGGGGCAGATCTTTAAATACATTTTATTGCCTCACCAAGTTCGTTTAATTTCTGTCCCTCTAATTGAGGCACTCAATAATTTCTTCATGTGTCAAAAGCATGAAGAGATATCGATTGACTTGCAAGATTCATGATGAAACACCTCCAACAAAGTAATACAATATACTTTGGACTTTATTAAATTAAATTGACAACAACCATAATTATATCTTTTTAGTCTAAAAACATGTTCTGAAGGTATTAACAACTGTGTTTCGAGTTAAAGCACAACGACCAAAAGCAATTTTTACTTTGTTATCGAAATTTATTTATTCTTTCTAAATCTATTCTTTTAGGATCTTATATACTATTTATTCTATTACACAGTTTCGTTTATGTTTATTGACATACGTACATATTAATATTAACTGTCTTTTAATAAACCAAATGTGCATATCGATATTTGATGGAACGCAGCCAATTTATGGTTACTTGGATTTGATACTTACCGTTACAGATAAAGAGTACATATCGATATCGATTAAAGATACCTGACTAAACTATTTTTGAATTAGCTAATGGTTTCGTCATTTTGCAATTTTACCAAAAATTTTATAAAATTTGAATATTTTTGACAATAAACTTAAAGAACATCTTAGAATAAAAAATTAATTTCGTCACGGATTATTATAGTTCAAAACAATTTCGTCAAGAGTTTCACCATTTCGTCAATTTAATTTCATCTACTAATTAAATAATTTCGTCAGGTATCACTAATACCGATACGTCTTCTGGAAAAGTCCAAAATGGTAATTTAATTTTGTTAGGTGGACCAGATATTAATTATGCTACGAAGAGTTACTAAATAAGAGACCTAGTAGTATTTAATTACGCGTTTATATATATTCGTCATAGGTCTAGTCATATAACTTTATTTTATTGCATGATAATTACTCGATATTTAACTTTTAAAATTTTTACAATAGAAAAAAGGAATTTTAACGAAAAGAATGCAGGTATTTATTACATTTTTTTCTTTTAGATTACAATATTGCACTATTCTTTTTCTTCATCCGTTTGACCAATTCTGATGCAAAGTCATACATGTACATGTATTTACGTTTAGCATTGATTATCGCTAGCACAGACGAATTAGCGTTAGGTTTTGAAAACGCTGCTAAATTGTTTCCGAAACGAACTGGCATGCCGGTTTCTGATTGATTGTTGTTGGTCCCGAAGTGAAATGAAAAAGTGCTGGAAGGCTATTTGGAGCTGGGTAAGTCCTTTTTTTAGTTTAACTTCATCAAATAAAAATTTATTTCGTTGATTTTCGCTTACTAGGTTTTGAAATAATCAGTGGAAATTCAATTCTGCTACAGGGTATTTACTATAATATGTGTTGAAGTAATCGAATACACCAAAGTGCATGTATGAAAAATTCAAATGATGAAAATTTTGCTAAACTACATAGGTGGTCGAAGCAATTAAAAGATAAAGGTCACTTAGTAACTATTAAAAGGATTCATTTCTTCAAAATCAAAAGATTCAACCATTTCCTGTGCTATGTCATGATCATTTCCTCTTG